CTCTCCTCTCTCAGATGCCAACAGTGGTGAGGAAAGTGGGTCACCTTGTGCTTCAGGGTTAGAGCAGGATGAAAGGAGTGTGTGGTTCCCTGGGAGCTGTGTGGGGAGGACGGGTGTGGGAGCCCAGCACTCAGGGTTCCACTAACCAGAAGAGATAAATCAATCTTTCACCACTCTCCAGGGAATATTTGAACGTGGAGGGTGCCTGGTGCTGCTGACACAGTGCTGCTTTGCTGGGAGCTGCTGCTTGAGGAAGGCTGAGGAAGGTTTTCCAGCCAGGAGAGGTGACCTCCGCCTTCTGCTGCTGCTTCCTGCGCTGTGTGTGAGTGCTGGGCCTCCCTGGAGCTGTCCATGGATCTCTGCCTCTCCCTCCTGTTCCAGCCCAGCTGGCTGTTCTTGGGTGCTGTCAGTCCCCTCTCCTTCCCCCAGTGTGTGGCTGGGAAGCTTTGCACGGGAGGATGCTGAGTCCAGTTGCCATGGCAAAGCGAGGGAGCCGTGGCACGTGGGCCCTGCCTGTGAGATTTCTGTCACAGATTGTTCCCACAGGTACCACAAAATCCTCCTGCCTGTCCATGCTGAGTGCTGGATGTTGGTCTTTGCTCTGTCCAAGCCCCAGCCACACTGTGGTGATCACACTTCACTGTATCTGTGTTCCACCCACCTCACCTGCCTGAGCGTCACCTGCTCACTCTTAAAAGATGGATAGAAGAATTTACCTTCTAGGAAATTAAATTATTTATCTCCTCACTGGCATTACCCAGCAGGGAGTGAAAAGCAGTTGTTAGCTCAGTGCCCAGCATTTCAACCCCTGTGCAGAGTTACAGCTCCTTGTTTGGAGCTGACAGGAGTTCTGGGGTCTCTCAGCTGCTGGGGCACAGGAGATGTGGTTATTGAGGATGGAGACACTCCGTTGTCAGCGGGCTGACAGGACAGGCAGGGGAAGCAGGGGCCAGGTCATTGCAGGGGAGATGTGCAGGTGTGTGTGGGACAGACCATCCATCCCTTCTGCAAGAGCTTGGTGGATATTAACACTAAATACCAGAACTAAGAATGTTCAATACTGGAATTAAGGTCTAAGTGTGGCCTCATCCTACTGGTTGTTTTCCCTCTTCAGAGACCAGTCTGTGCGTGCAGAACTGACCCAAATCTGTCCCTGTTTTCCAGCAGACTGGGGCAAGTCTGTATTAAGAATCCTTGGAAATTTCCATCTGCACTGGAGCGTTTCGGTAGCGATTGGAAGGAAGACTCTTACACAATGAGGGCTCTCTGGAGGGGCAGAGATCACCTCACCTGTGCTACAGCAACGAGCTGCAAATCACTCTGCGAGCTGCAAATCACTCTGCGAGTTCTCATTCAGCCCCAGTTGAGTAATCGTGGGGATTATCCCTCCCCAAGATAAATATGGAAAGATAAGGCAGTGTCAAAGGAGTTGCTTTTGCTTCTTTATGGCTCTTTGAAAGAGCTGACCTTGATGCTCTGCTGGGGTCTCTCCTTGCAGCACCACGTTCTGCAGCACCAAAATTCTTCATGGTAACTTTTTCATAGCAATCCAGGCAGAATTCGGGCCTTTAAAATGCCCCAGCACTGATCCACAGAGAGCACTTAAGCATTAGGGGAGCATGAAGTGACAGGGGAATGGTTTCAAACTGAAAGAGGAGCCTTAGGTTGGATATTGGGAAGGAATTCCCCCCTGTGAGGATGGGCAGGCCCTGGCACAGGCTGCCCAGAGAAGCTGTGGCTGTCCCAGCCCTGGAGTGTCCAAGGCTGGGTTGGATGGGGCTTGGAGCAGCCTGGGCTGGTGGGAGGTGTCCCTGCCCATGGCAGGGGGTGAAACTAGATGGGCTTTAAGGTCCCTTCCAACCCAAATAATTCTGGGATTCTATTGATTCTATGATTAGCTGTTAATGGTACTTGATCATGTCCTTAAGAGTCTGCTTATGTGCTTTTTGGAATTTTAATGGTTTGGGTTTAGAATCCTAGAATGGTTTGCATTGGAAGGGACCTTAAGGGTCATCCAGTTCTAATCCCCAAATCTGCTTTTCTATACAAACCCTAGTTTGGGTACTTTGGATTGTATGGAAAGGCAAAGGAAAGGTGGCAGATGTGCACGGTGAAGCAAAGGGGAACAGAATGAAACACGGGCTGGATAAAATAGGGGTATTCTGACTTCTCTGCTGAGGTAGATGGATGTGGGGAATCTTGTCTCTGATGCCTAAAAAGGGTTTTTGGAAGCTGTGGCTTGTTTGGTACCACCATTTCCTGTATGAATTGACACAGTTGCTGTTGTCACTTATTTAACAAATCGGTGCAAGCCCAAACAAGGACAAAAATAAGTGTCTGTTAATATGAACAGATTTATCTGTTCTCATCCCCACGCCTTTTCCCACGGGCAGAGTTTCCATGTAGCTTATCAAGCAAACCTTAGTGCCAAGGATTTCATCTCTGTGAGGGACAAAGGCTGCTCAGAGCAGGGCTGTTGTCTTTACATGTTCGTGGCACCTCGAAACACAAGGCAGGTGCTGGGGCAGCCTCTGCTCAGGAGGACACAGGAGGATGGCTGGGTTGAGATGTGGAATCCCAGAATGGTTTGGGTTGGAAGAGACCTTAAAGATTATCCTGTTCCACCCCCTGTCATGGGCAGGGACACCTTTCACTGTCCCGGGTTGCTCCAAGCCCTGTCCAGCCTGGCCTTGTCCTGCCCCTTTGCTGGCTGTGCTGTGAGGGTTTGGTAGGAGCCAGGTGATCACCCGGCCTCGCTTGTCCATCAGGAGATTCCCCCAGGATTTATGTGTTCAAGTGCTTTAGGAGTCACAGCTGGCAGGTGTTGAAAATATCCTGAGTTTGATTGGTTTGGTTTTGTCCCTGTTCTTTGGGTTAACTGGAGCTGTGTGTGGGCAGTGCTGGTTTCCCTTGGAGCCATCCTCATGCCCAGCAGTAGTTAAACAGAGCAGTGTTCCCTGGCCTCTTGGGGTAGTGGCACATCAGCCAGGGCCCTGCAAAAAACCCTTCCCTCTCCCTAATCTTCCCAAACAAATCAGTCAGGGCTTGGCACAGCACTGGAATCTCCCAGGCTGCTTTCTCCAAGGATTTTACCTCAGTCCCACATGGCAGACAGGGGATGCTGGGGCAGCACTGGCTGGCTCTGGGTGCAGAACCTGTGGCTGGAGCTCCCACCACCAGGGAAAATACATTCCCCCGAGGCTGCCCCTTTGTTTTGTCCTGTTGCAGGCCTGTGCTCAGTAATAATTAATTCCTTTGTTGCCTGAACGTGGAGCGTTTCCTCTGGAAGGCTCAGGCAAACATCCCCACTCCCTCAGGAATGGTAAATGTTTAAAAGCCAAGGACACAGCGTTAATCCTTGCTTGGGGTTGTGACCTTCCAGTGCTCCAAAGCCACCACTGTGTTGGGAGACAGAGTATGGAGGTGGTCCCAGCCACCTGTTCCACAGGTCCATGCAGAGGCTTCACAGGAGCCCAAAGACCAGACAGTCACTCCCACATCCCAGTGGTTTCCATCACCTGAGGCCAAGAGCTTTGGTCTGTAGGAGCCGAGTTCTCGGGAGGGGAAATGGTTTGATGGAGGCTCGTTTAGAGGTGCCTGGACTGGGGTTCTCTGGCCTGACCCTTGCCTGTGGTGGTGTGGCCAGCAACAGAGACAGGCAAGTGGAAATTTCCTTCCCATCCCCAGTGCCTTGTGACAACATCATAAACCATCCCTGGCGTTCTTTACCCTGCTTACGAGAGAAAAAATCTCTATAAACCGCAATCCTTAATCACCCACCACAAACATGGGACATTGCAGGCGATTGCTCAAGGCAGGGACACCCTGGGGGGCTGGACTGATCCCTGCCTGGATGGTGGGCACATTTCCTGCTGCTCCAGGTGAGCTGCACTGCAGGGACCTGCACTGGCATCACTGGGGCAGTGTCAGCTGTGCCCATCACTGCATAGGTGTGATATTAATCTTATCATTAATACCCCAAAAATAATTTCAATCTGGATTCCTTCTGCCCAAGTTAAAATCCCTCCCAATGGAACTGGTTGTGCTGGGAGCTGTGGGTTGTGGGACAGTGGTTCCAGGGCTGCAGCCTCTCAGTTGTCCCCTTATTCCCTCTGCCCTGGCTGAATCCAGTGTTCCAGGCACTGATCCCTGCTGGGGCAAGGGGGATTTAGGGAGGGTTTAAGTGTTGTAATCAATGCCAATTTTCAGAGCTGCTGGTGGGTCCCTTGGGTCCCTTGCCAGGCATCTTTTATTTGAGAGCAGTGCAAGAGGGATACAGGCCCCCAACTTTAGGAGTTCTGGGCAGGACGTGGGCTGAGGTTGAGGGAAATTTTGGTGGCTTTTACTCAGAGGGTGGGCAGGCCCTGGCACAGGTTGCCCAGAGAAGCTGTGGCTGCCCCATCCCTGCATGTGTCCAAGGCCAGGTTGGACAGGGCTTGGAGCAACCTGGGCTGGTGGAAGGTGTCCCTGCCCATGGCAGGGGGTTGGAACTGTTGTTTAAAGGTCCCTTTCCACCCAAAGCAGTCTGTGATTCTGGGATAGCTGCACCAGCCATTTCCCAGGGTGCTGCCGGATCCGTGAGCCCGATGCCAGGGCCCTTCTGGCAGGTGAGGAGGGCAGCTGGGCTGCACGGGGGTGCTGGCACTCAGGCTCTCTGCACGAAAGGAATCACATCCTGAATCTCGGCAGAAAACCCTTAAACTGAAAAAAACCCAAACAAACAAACAAAAAAAAAAAAATCCAAGGGAGAAAACCCCCCAAGCCTTGAAGCAAGGCTTGGCAGTGATAACAGTTTTTATATCCCTGGGGGCCGGCCCAACAGCTTTTATTGCCCCTCTTCTTTTTTTTTTTCTTAGCAATGCAAATCCAATCCATATTTTAGAGCCTGCCCTGCACTGCCTGTCCACAGAGGTCGGGGGGAGCCTGCCAGCCTGGTGGCAGGACAGGTGGGACCCTCGCCCTGCACCCCTGGCTCCTGCAGGGCTGTGCCCAGGGCTCTGATGGCCGGGGCCGAGCACACAGGGCGGGAGCTGCTGGACATGGAGGTGAAGGCCAAGGCCTGGCGGCCACCCTGGTTCGAGCGCCACGTGCAGCCGTGCCTGGCAGAGCTGCTGGGCAGTGCCCTCTTCATCTTCACCGGCGTCCTGGCCGCCGTGGAGGGCGCGGGGCGGCTGCAGCCCGCCCTGGCACACGGGCTGGCCCTGGGCACCGCCGTCGCCGTCCTGGGGGACATCAGGTAAGGGGGGCCGGCACACACGGCCTTTGGGACCCTCCCTGCCCACATCTCGGTGCTGAGCACCCCTGCCCTGCCATCCAGCCCCTGGTCAGTGCCGTGGCTGCTTGCGGGGGGTTGGTGGTGGTGGCACTGGTGGGGCCATCTGTGGTGGCACCCCTAATCCTGTGGGCTTGGGGCGGTTCACCTGGCTTTGGACTGACCATTTTAATTCTTAGCCCCTTTTTAACAAAAGCTGTCAAAGCTGAAATAGAAATACCCTCTTCTTGGGGTTGGAACTAAAAGATATTTAAGGTCCTTTCCAACCCAAACCATTCCATGATTCTCTGATTCTCTGGAAAGCTGAGACAATTCCTTTCACAAGGATGTCAGAGCAAAACATTTTGACCCAAGTGTGCTACTCCCCTGGGTATCTTCAGGTGAGAGATTTAGCTCCCATTTACAAGTGGCTTCAATTCCCCAAAAGCAACATTTAGACAAACCTCTCATTGAAAAAGGTGTTGTCTGGTGCTAAGATATAGATTTATCCTCAAGGAAGGGACACCTTCCACTAGCCCAGGTTGCTCCAAGCCCAGTCCAACCTGACCTTGGACACTTCCAGGCATGGGGCAGCCACAGCTGGCTGGGGTTGGTTTGCAGCCAGGTCCTCCTTCAGCCCCCAGGCTCCCTCCTGTCCTGGGGGTGTTCACAGCCCAAGCCCCATCCAGCCCAAGCGTTTGCTGCCCTGAACAACACAATGCCTTGCTCTGATGATGGCTCTTAATTCCAGCTGAGGAATGAGGTGTGATTATCGTTCCCAGACACTCTGACTCATCCCTCACCAGCAATTATCAGGGCTGATTGGTTATGAAACCTGCTCGTTAGCACGTGTCTCATGATAATCTGCTTTAATTAGAGGGTCTCTGAGTCTGTCTTGCTTGTGGTCCTCGAGACGAGTGATTTAGGTCTGGTACTGAGGTGCCCGGCCCGACAGCCCCTCTCTGTCCCTGCCTCCTGTCACCTCCCAAGCTGGGTACCAACCCCCCAGCATTCCTGCAGCTCTGGGGGAGACCCCTTCTCCCCACATCTGCTCTGCCAGTGCTGCAGCAGCTCCTGGAAGCACCTGGAGGTCTCCAGAGACCCATCCCCAAACCATGTCCCTCAAACTGCCCCTGCCAGCACTGCAGGATGGGTTGGGTGTCCAGCCTGATGCTGCTGCTGCTTTGAAGCAGTGACTGCAGAGGGAGGAGACAGCTGGGTTCTGCTCTTCTGGAGCATGTAGCACCTTCCCACAAAAGGACTGGAAAAGCATTTGTGGCTCCAGCCCTTGGTGAGCCCCAGGAAGGGAACCCTGTGCTGGGAGGGAACCTCTGCTGATGCTCCTCTCTCCTTTGCAGCGGAGGCCACTTCAACCCTGCCGTGTCCCTGGGCGTGTGGCTGGTGGGGGGGCTGAACATGACGATGCTCATCCCTTACTGGGTGTCCCAGCTCTGTGGAGGGATGATTGGAGCCGGCCTGGCAAAGGTAAGGATGCTGGGGGTCCTCTCCACCCAGGGCTGGGACACAGGGACTCCCCTTGCTCTGCCAGAGCTGGCCTGACCACCCCAGCCTGCTGCAGCCCCAGGCTCTAAGGCCAGGCTAATTAACTGATTACTAGCTCCATCTGTCCTCCAGAGGTTTGCTGTGCCACACTAACTGGGCACAGAAGGGCACACGGTCCCCCTGCACCCTCCCACCATGTTCACACACAGCATTTCCCTGCACTTGTGCCTCCAGCACTGCACCCCAAGCTCAGTTTGGGTTTGGTGCTGCCCATGCCCACCATCCTGGCAGCCAGCACCCACCTGCACTGCGTGATTTGGCCGCCACAAGCCCCTGGGTGACTGGGTGAGGCTCATCCCCCCCAGGAGAGCGGTACCTGGCTCATTGTCCCAGGAGACACCGAGAGCCTTGTCAGCGAGTTGATGTTTGCCAGGCTGGCTTTCAGGAGGCAAGTGCTGAGTTTAGCTCCTCTTTAACCCGCCCACGCTGTCCTGACAGTGAGCACATATGCCCGGTAAAGCCTCAGTGTGGAGCATGGAGGGCACCAACGGGCTCCCCCCGCACAGGCCGTGGCACCGAGCGAGCGCTACGGGAACGCCAGCGGGGGAGCCTTCGGCGGCATCACGGCCGACGAGCAGATCCCTGCTGCCCTCGTGGGGGAGGTCGTCATGACCACCTTCCTGGTCCTGGTGGTCTGCATGGGCGCCGTCAACGGGAAGACCAAGACCCCCCTGGCACCGTTCTGCGTCGGCTTCACCGTCACGGCCGGCATCCTGGCGGGGTGAGCTCCTCAGCCCCGTGCCCGCTCCTGCCCTCGCTCCAGCAGCTGATGGCACCAGGCAGGGGGCCAGGTGGGACCACTGGCTGTGGGGATGGAGCTGGTGCTCAGAGCCCCAGGGGCAGCTCCAAACAGCCGCAGTCAGGGCTGCTCTGGTCCCGCCTCAGCCCGCGCACAGGGCTGGTGTCGGCTCAGCCCGGCACGTGGCACCGGAGCTGGCGCAGCCCTCACGAGCACCGGCGGTGGGTGATAAACCCCAGGCCCTCCTGGGCCGTGTTTGCTGTAGGAAGCTCTGAGCAAACAGGAGAGGGTTTATGTCCTTCGTGTCCCCGGGGCTGCTGGAAGTGCTGCCAAGCTTGCAGCTTTCTCTGTGCATTGGGAGAGCAGCCCAGCCACGGTGCCACTGTGGTGGGATAATGAGCCTTCCCTGTTTGAAAGCCTGGCTCCTGGGATACCCCAAAATAAACTTGGCACTGGTGCCTCTACCTCACGCTGGGTTTTCCCCAGTAACTGGCCAGTGGTGTGAGTGAAGGCTGGTGCTGGTGAGCGGCCACTCCCGGGGCTGGGCTGGTCCCTGGGTGGCAGCTGAGCAGCCACTCGGGGCTGGGCTACCGTGCAAAACCATCCCTATCCCCAAGCAGCCGTGCTGGGATGGCACAGCGTGTTCTGAGCCAAGGGGACGGTGCTGGCCCCGTGTCCCACCCCAGTGACGCAGCCACTCTGTTCTTGTTGCAGGGGTGGCGTGTCTGGAGCCTGCATGAACCCTGCCCGAGCCTTTGGACCAGCTCTGGTGGCAAACTACTGGGACTACCACTGGGTGTACTGGGTAGGGCCCATGGTCGCTGCCCTCCTGGTGGGTGTGCTGGTGAGGTACGTGGTGCCTGTGGCAGCACAGGGAGCGGGGTGTGCAGACTGACCCCCTGTACCCCCTGTGCTGCTGCTCAGCTCCCTGCACTGACACTGCAAGCGGCCACTTTTCCACAAAGATGTCCGAGGGCTGGAAAATCCCTTCCCTTCTCCTGAGGAGAGGATGACAGCAGAGATCCCACCTGTGTCCAAATGTCTGTGTTAGCTCCATCCATGTCCCGTGTGGTGAATACAGCTCTGCTGGTGCTGGGCTGCTGCCATTGCCATGTCCCTGTTGCTCCCCTGCGAGGGCAGAAGTGCTGACCCCGGATTTCTCTCTCTTTTGCCTCCCCAAAGGCTCCTGATGGGTGACCGGACCACACGCCTGCTCCTGCAGTGACGCCGGGCCCTGGACCCTGCCCGTGCTGCAGCCACTGACCTGCCATGGCATGGGTCAGCACAGCCAGAGTGAAACCTCCTGCTCCTGCCCCCTCCTCACCTCCACACCTCCCCTCCTCACCTCCCCTCTGCACCTCCCAGGCAGCTGTGGTCCAGCAATGGCTCCCCAGATGCTGAAGGGAGGATGGGAACCCCCAGCCATCCTGTGGTTGCCAGGGCTCTGCCAGCCCCTGCCGTGGGACCAGCTCAGCATGAGCCCCCTCTGAGCAGCAGCAGTGCCCGTGGTGCCCCAGCCTCCCTCGGCATCACCCATGCACAGTGTCTGCCCCCCAGGGCTGTCCCTGGGCCTCTGCGGTGCCAGGGAGCCCTCTGCCCTCAGGGTGGGCACTGCTGCTCCCCAGTCAGCTTGTCAGGATGTTGCCAAGCAGCTCTTGCCCCTGACCTGCCCCATGGGCTCTCCCATGGAGGGGGACAGGAGAAGGGAGCTTTGGGGACAGTCTCATCTCTGGCCCCTCTGGGAGGATGGGGTAGGGGCAGTCAAACACCCTCCAAGAGCTCAGGGTGGGTCATCTCTCCCCTACCAGAGGAAGGGGCCAGGGCCCAGGGGGAGGGGGCTGTTTGGCAGAGGGGGTGCTGCCACAGGCAGGAGGAGCCTGCAGAAGGAAAGCGCTGGAGCTGTGTGGGCAGGGGGAGAGGAGCCAGCACAGCAGCTTTGCGTCAGCCGGGCACCCGGCCCCTCCAGCAGCGCTGCCCTGACTCATCCTGCGGCCTCCCCAGCCTCCCCCGGGGGTTCACTGGGACCCTGTTCCCCTCCCTGGGGCTTGCTGGGTGGTGAAGGGGCACGAGGGTGTCACTGTGAGCACCCCCTGCCCCAGCCAGGACCCCTCTCTTCCCTGGATTTGGACACTCCGAATTGTGCAAACTTTTAACCCTGGAAATGCCCGTTGCTTTCCCAGCCCCTCCCAGCACAGCTCGGGAGTGCCCCTGGGCTGGCCCTGGGGCAGGGGCTGTGCTGGCAGAGCTGTGCCCCCCACCCTGCCCGGCTCCGTCCAGGAATGGGGCTGCAGGGCAGGAGGAGGCAGGGGGAGGGGAGTGCCCAGCTGCCCTCAGCAGGGCAGTGGCACGTTCCCCAGGGCAGGAGCTGTGTGCTGGGCTCTCCAGCAGTCGGAGGATCTGGAGGAAACCCTCGGGCCAGGCAGATGCTTCGTCCTCTCTCCACAGGCAGCTCCTCACAGCTGCTGTGACAGGGCAGTTCCCAGCTTTCCCCTGTGCCCGTGGGGTTGGCAGAGCCCTGCCAATGTCACCTCTCTATTTTCAGCTTGTTTTCTACTTCCCAGCCCAGGAGGTGACCCACACAGGGACACAGAGACAAAGATGTGCTCACAGAGAAGGACGATGCTGTAGAGATGCTGGAATGAGGGAATGCCGGGGTTGGAACATCACTGGCTCAGACGGGGGGGCGTTGCTGCACCCCTGCCCTGGGCAGGGCTGGGGGCTGGGGGGGGGCCCTGGTCCTGGGGGCACCGTGGGCCCCAGGTGAGCCACGGAACCAGCAACTGCTCCCTTAGGAAGGAGAATGATGCAACCCTCAGAAGGAGACAAATAGCATGAAGATGTCACTGGGATAGTTGTCATGGCAACACCACAAAAAATGCCAAACCAAACGTGGACCAGAATCACTGCTTCTTCCCCAAAGGAGGAAGCTGGTACTGGTGGGAGCTGGTGCTGTGGGGAGTCACCCTGGGGACTCACCTGCCCCAGCCCCTGCTCAGGGTGCAGATCTGTGGGAGCGGGGCTGAGGCCACTGGGGTGTGACAGGTTCCCCCCTTCCCCTTTTGAGAGGATGCTCGGCCCCTCAGCCCCGCAGGAAACATGCTTGGCTGCGGCTGCCTCTACACGGGGGACCTCCTGCACCCCCATCCCTCCTGCACCCCCATCCCTCCTGCACCCTGATCCATTCATTCTGCACCCTCATCCCTCCTGCACCCCTATCCATCCTGCACCCTGATCCCTCCTGCACTTCGATCCCTCCTGCACCCCGATCCCTCCTGCACCCTGATCCCTCCTGCACCCTGATCCCTCCTGCACCCCAGCTCCATCCTGCCCCCCGTCCCTGTCCCTCAGCCCCTCTCCCTGCTGCACCCCGGTTCCAAGGCCCCTCTCCCAGTGGGTGCAGGGGAGGGGTCTCAGCAGGTCCCCCTGGGGGGGTGGTGCTGCTGCCCGTGGTCCCCGGGCGAGGGGGACAGGAGGGGACACGGCCCCCAGTGCTGCCCTGCTTGGCTGCTGCTGTGTTCAGCACACATCTTTCATTTGTCAGGGTGACTTTAGATAAAGCAGCTGTAACGCCACGTTGTTTTTCCTTGAGTATTATTAAAGTGCTTAATATATGCTAATTAAATACCAATTAACTTCCAAGCACTTAATGTGCTTTAAGGACATAAAATACATCTCATTCCCATTCAATTACATTTGCATCAGGCCTGGACATGGGTCTGCACCATGTTTTTTCGGCACATGGATCTCCCGGGATGTTTCCTGGTGTTTTCCAGGTTCTGGGTGCCTGTTGGGATGGAAATGGCTCCTGTTGGGATGGAGATGCTGCTCAGGAGCAGGGCAGGTATGGGCCCCTGATGCTGTGGGCACTGGTGGAGTGGTTGTTGCTGAGATATGGGGCTGCTGAGGACATCAACACTCACCCCCTGCATGATGGAAGGCTGGGGGAGCCCAGGGCACTTCGGGGGGATGCCAAAGGCTCCGCAGACGTTGGGCACGTGCTCGGCTGGGCACTGCCAGCCATGTCTGGCACCAGCACTTTGGAGGCACAGGGACAAAAATCAGGGTGTGCTCTGGGAGCAGCATCAGAAGGATGTTTGTCTGCCCCTGTCTCTGCCCCCGCCCTTCCTGTGCTCACACTGCAGCTCTTTCTCTGGATAAACGCCCTGGACACACAGGGCTCAGGGGAATGAAGCCCTGCTCTCCCTGCACTCGGGCTCCCGGTGCCAGCCCAGCCACTGGCAGCTCCTAGCTGTCCCCACAGTGGGGGTTGTCTCGGTGCTGGGGCCTCACCGGGCCATGTTCCCACACAGAAGGCTTTTCATCTGGGCAGAACAACGCCCGGCTGTTCCCTGTGCCCGCTGCCTGCCAGCTCTCTCCTGCAGTCTGGGAAAGGAGGGGCTCCCAGAGTTTTCCCTTCCAAATCCTTCTCTCAGCAGGGTTAGGGGGGCTGTCAGTGTATACCCCCAAAGCCTGGTCTTAAAATAGCAGCACTCCCGAGCAGAGGCAGCACACTGAGGTGCCCAGAACGTGGTGGGGTAGGATGGATGAATGCTTTCAGAACATGCCCCATGAGAGCATCTGGGAGTTCTCCCGTTGCTCGACTCTGAAGCTTTTCTGCATCTGGAGAAATCCCAGCCTGAGAAGCAAAGGTGAATTGATCCTTGGAGCTCATTTTGCCCACCGGGCGGATCCGCAGTGGCTGCGGAGGGCGGACCCCGAGCTCATCCCCCAGTGTCTGTGCCAGCCCTCGGCGCTCCCCGAGTGCCGGTGCCACGGGAGCTCCCCTGGGTGCTGAGCCGGGCTGGGTGCTGAGCTGGGCTGGGTGCTGAGCAGGGCTGGGTGCTGAGCGGGTCTGGGTGCTGAGCGGGGCCGGGTGCTGAGCGGGGCCGGGTGCTGAGCGGGGCTGGGTGCTGGGTGCTGAGCGGGTCTGGGTGCTGGGTGCTGGGTGCTGAGCAGGGCTGGGTGCTGAGCCGGGCTGGGTGCTGAGCAGGGCTGGGTGCTGAGCAGGTCTGGGTGCTGAGCGGGTCTGGGTGCTGAGCAGGGCTGGGTGCTGAGATGGGCTGGGTGCTGAGCCGGGCTGGGTGCTGAGCTGGGCTGGGTGCTGAGTGGGGCCGGGTGCTGAGCGGGGCTGGGTGCTGGGTGCTGAGCAGGTCTGGGTGCTGAGCCGGGCTGGGTGCTGAGCGGGGCTGGGTGCTGAGCTGGGCTGGGTGCTGAGCAGGGCTGGGTGTTGAGCGGGGCTGGGTGCTGAGTGGGGCTGGGTGCTGAGCTGGGCTGGGTGCTGGGTGCTGAGCAGGGCTGGGTGCTGAGCAGGGTCGGGTGCTGAGCGGGGCCAGGTGCTGGGTGGCCGCGTGGGCACGGCCGGGGGCGCGGGGACAGCGGAGGTGGGCGCTGACGTGCGGAGCCAGCTCTGCGCGTGAGCTGGCACTGCGTGTGGGAGCGGGGAGTGGGGATGGGGGAGTGGGAGCTGGGAGGAATTCTGGGGAAGCTTTTACAGCCACGCCATTAGCGGGCACACGGACGGGGATGGGCTCCTGCCCTCCTGGCCTTGGATGGTGCCCAGGGGGTTGGGGACTGTGCCCCCAGACTGGGCATCACCCCTCATTGCTCTGCCACGTCCCTCGCGGCTGTGCCACGTCCGCTGATGACGAGCCATGTCCCTCGATGCCATACCATGTCCCTTGAGACTGTGACGTGTCCCTCACTGTTATGCTGTGTCTCTCATCACAGTGCCACGTCCCTCACTGCTCTGCCATGTCCCTTGCTGCCATGCCAAGGCCCTTGCCACCGTGCCATGTCTCCCACCACTGTGCCCCCTGCAGCCCTCCAGGCTGCATTTGCTCTCCTGCCCCAGAGCAAGGCCCCAGAGCTGGAGCAGCCCCCCTGCCCATCACCGGGTATGCAAAGAGCACTAACGAGCCTCCCCACCACGTGCAAAGCTCAGGGGCTCCTGCAGAGACCTGGGGCGTTTCATGGGGTCAGGAGGGGACATCTCCAGCTCACTCCCAAGCCGTCCCAGACCTGTTTCTCACAGCAGAGCAGGAGAGGCTCTGGAACACGGAAAGGAAAGGAAATATGGGGAGAGGGGATTATTCCCTCCTCACCCTGCTCATGTTTCTACTCCTCATTCTCTCGATCTTTCACTTCTTTTTGTTGGCATAGGCCGCCCACTCGAGCTCCCCAGGGAGGGGCTGGCACAGAGTTGTGTCCCTGGGACTGGGGCAGTGC